CCCCGCCCCTCCACCTCTCCACCTCACTCCTGTCAAGTTTCATTTCATTTCTCGCCCTTTTCCACGGCGCTGCTCAGCCTTTGGTTTGGCTCTGTGCTTTGCTTTGTTACCCTTCTTTTGCTTTCCCTCTGTTGTTGCCGTCTGTCCTCTCTTCCCCTCCCGCCGAGAGGTAATCAAGCCCCGTTGTGAGTGTTTAAGCACTGAAGCAGACGGATGTTGAATTATTCTCAGGACTTACTATTTTGTCTGGTAGGAGAGAGCCAGTCTTCATGCCGCATGCTGTGTAATGGCCATGCACACATGAATGCATCGCAGAGAGGCTCATGCAGGCGCGAGCACACACACACACACACACACACACACACACACACACACACACACACACACACACACACACACACACACACACACACACACACACACACGCGTGCTTACAGCCAGTCAGTGAGTCAGAAAGCTGTCAGTCATTCAGATCTCATGCTGACAGAGTTACAGGTAACAGAGTTATAGGACCTGACAAGCCGATTCAATGATACACTGCGCTTCACACCAAACACAGCACACACTTCCAAGGCTCCTTCCTGCATGCACACAAATGCACAGGAACATGCGCACACACTGTGATAGCAGCAGCAGCATCAACTCTAAGACACAATAACGACAGCTAAGACTCTCAAAAGTTAAACAGCCAAACCAACAAAGGAGAACAGAAAGTGTAGGAACTCATCTCCACCTAATTCTCTATTGTCATCAGCTTCGTTCTCATCTCTCCTCTTCTCATGCTGCTGCATTTCTCTTTTTTCCGCTCCTCTACTCCCTCCTTATCTATCCTTTCTATGTTCTCCATTCTGCCTTGAGCTCGCCTTTATCAGCTCGTCTTATTTTCCTCCTCTCTGCTACTGTGAATTTAAACTCTCCATGGAACGAGAAGCTTGGATTACACAGTTTCAGTGTTGCTTTAATTTATCTTTTGCACGCACACACACACACACACACACACACACACACACACACACACACACACACACACACACACACACACACACACACACACCTGGGTGGCCGTAATACAACACAAAACTTGGCTTCTGCATATTGCAATACCTATCAGTGCCATTGTTCTTTACAATCCCATGCCCACTGTAGCCCCCCAACCCACCCCCCACCCCCACCTCCCACCCCCACCCCCACCCCGCATCCGTTGCTGACTCAAGTGATGTCCTTACTTGAGGCGATTTTATCAGATTTGGTGCAGCGCTTGGAAGCCATAAATGGTTTTATTGAACTTTCTTTACATGCTCAGTAGCTTTACCCCCTAAAGCCGTGAACTAGCTTTGAAGTGTGTGATGAAAATCAGCAGAGTTCTGCTTTAAGTATCTAATAAAGAAAGATAATGGTGGTATTCAGAGCCCTAGATTTATCGATATCTGTATCCATTTTGTTCTTGTTTTGAAAGAAACTAGAGCGCTGGGATCATGTCGGAAAATGGCAGAAGAGCAGGCAGCTGCGATGATGAAGATGCAACCAGTGGTGGAGATTAAAGGACTCCTGAACGAAACCTTACAGAGGGGGAACACCTAACTCAGACATGTACAAGTCTGCTGTTTTCTACCACACAGATGAAAGCGAGCAGCTACTTGCATTACATGAGACTCATACACCACAAAGAAAACAGGACACTCTATTCATACACATACATTCAACACCAAAACATAATAAGAAAGTATAGTTTGGGCAAAATATCTCCATTCTCATATCCACTAGCCCAACCACAGAAGCAGCACTGCAAAAACTGAAAACCTGAGTGTGCAGCTGGCAGAGGAAATAAACAGCTTCTTTGCCCGCTTTGAAACACCACAGCAGCAACACTCATCTGCTTCAGCCCTGCTACCATCCTCATCCTCACCTGGTTCCGCTCCACTCACTGTAACGGAGCACGATGCCAGACGTGTGCTCCTAGCAGTGAACCCCAGGAAGGCGGCCGGTCCAGACGGAGTACCTGGCAAAGTACTAAGAACATGCGCACACCAGCTCAGCCTCATCTTAGCCAGACTCGTCAACCTCTCACTGGATCAGGCAGCCATCCCGTCCTGTCTAAAATAAGCCACAATCATCCCAGTACCGAAGAAGTCTCCCATCTCTAGCTTAAATGATTACCGCCCTGTGGCCCTCACACCGGTAATCATGAAATGCTTTGAGAGACTACTCCTTCAGCACATAAAGAATCACCTCCCATCAGAATTCGACCCCCACCAGTTTGCATACCGTGCAAACAGATCCACAGAAGACGCCATCGCCACAGCCCTCCACGCTGTGCTGAGTCACCTAGAGCAGCGGCAGAGCTACGTCCGAATGCTCTTTGTGGACTACAGCTCAGCCTTTAATACAATCATCCCGGACATCCTCATCAACAAACTGGTCACTCTTGGCCTCCCTCCTCTCACATGTGCCTGGATAAAGGATTTCCTCACAAACCGGCCCCAGACTGAGACTCGGCCCTCATCTCTCCTCCACTCGCACACTGAGCACCGGCGCCCCACAGGGCTGTGTGCTGAGCCCCCTGCTGTATTCTCTGTACACCCACGACTGCAGTCCGACCCACAATAACACTCTCATCATCAAGTTTGCTGATGACACCACGGTAGTCGGACTCATTTCGAAGGGAGACGAGGTAGAGTACAGAGAGGAAGTCCTGAAGTTGGCAGCATGGTGTTCAGAAAACAACCTGTCCCTGAACACCAAGAAAACCAAAGAGCTCATTGTCGACTTCAGGAGACACAGCACCGACTTGGCCCCTCTCTACATCAACGGGGAGTGTGTGGAGAGGGTCCACACCTTCCGGTTCCTTGGTGTCCTCATCTCTGCTGACATCTCCTGGGCGGAAAACATCTCAGCGGTCATCAAGAAGGCCCAACAGCGGCTGCACTTCCTGAGAGTCCTCAGGAAGTACAAACTGAACTCCGACATGCTGCTGACCTTCTACCGCTCGTCCATTGAGAGCCTGCTAACCTACTGCATCAAGGTATGGTACGGCAGCTGCACCAAGGCGGATAGAGTGAGGCTTCAGAGTGCTGTAAAGACAGCACAGAAGATCATCGGCTGTCCTCTCCCCCCCCCATGATGGACATTTATTCCTCCTGCTGTCTCAGTAGGGCAGCAAACATCATCAAGGACAGCTCCCACCCTGGCTTCAACATGTTCAGACTGCTTCCCTCAGGGAAGCGCTACAGGTGCATTAATACAAAAACCCACAGACTCAAAAACAGTTTCTTCCCCAAAGCAATAACCACCCTGAACTCACACATGCACTGATAACACAGCCCCCCACTTCCTCCATTGACCGCCACTATCTATTGATACCAAAATTCCATGTGCAATAATTGTAGATACATAACATTACTGTCCATATGTACATAGCGCTGCAGAACTGTACCCCCCCACCCCACCCCCACCCCCACCCCCACCCCCAACCCCAGTTTGTTTGTTTTACACTGAGTAGGAGATGCTCTGTATCTCACTTTACACCTGTATAGTGACAATAAAGGCATTCTATTCAATTCTATTCTATTCTTCCACACTCTGGAAAAAACAACACATCCATTACTTTTAACTGATCTAAACTTGCAGGGTGATTATTTGCTTTGATAAATAAAACATTTTTTATTGGTTTAAAGGATTTTTTTCTGTCTTTATCGTCCAGAACTTCTGAGAGACTCCATTTAACTGAACATGATATATGAACATGACTGTTCTCTCAGGCTGTTTCCATTTTATGTGTTCAGCATCAAATATTTACAACAGTCTAGAGCAAGAGTCTGTCAAACACAGCAGCTTTAGGTGCACTTTTATTACTCTGATTAGTTCTACACTTTAATCAGCATTCTGCTTATTTTTTGCACTTTTAGATGAGTTTATTAACTCTTATTAAAAACAAACTCCTAGGAAAACAAGTATATGTTAGATACAATGCTATATAGTATTGTATGCATGTGTTATTACAATATCATCCTGCAAAGTTGTGAAAAACCATGATGTCAAATGCTCTAAAGAGTTGTGTTTTATTACTAGGTGATTAGAAGTTGTAGGACAAGGTTTCAGATTGGAAGTCAGTAGTTTAGCTGGTTTCCTCCCCTGGAAAATGATCAGATGAGATAATTTGCTTATTTTCTGAGCTTAATTTTGTATAAATCTAATATATATCTGACCATTGGCCAGGTAAACGTCACGTCAGGCTGTTAAAGATCGTAATAAATATGCTCCACATGAATAAACTAAAACCTTAATGATTAAAATGATGATGAATGACATCATTTTAGTGGTTTTTCCTGGTAAATCTGGATATTCTAAAACAAAACCCTTTCAGTTTTAGGGATTGACTAAATATAAGAGAGTCCTTCATAAGGTCAATGTGAATACCAATTCTCCTAGTTAATACATTTATGCAGTCACTTGTATTTATTTCCAATAATATTTAATCTTGGCGTTCTACCCTTAAAGAACACAATTTTAAGGAGATATTTCTGCTAGAAGAGATACCCGGAAAACATTTTCTACAAATGTTGACTCTTCAGATGCATAATTTTATACGTTGCTGCAGCAAAGTGTCACTTAATAACTGAGTGCCATTTACTTTGCTATAAATGGAAGACATGGCATGTCATTATGGTAGATGCTGCTGGTGCCAAAATGGAAAACTGATCTAGTCCTACAGAGAGAAAGAAAAGCCGACACATAACAGTGAGATTCTGGAGAAGGAACAAAACCATTTTCTGTATTGAAACAACAGAAACGTCTTTAATTCTACTAAAGACAATACCTTTAGACCCTTGTTTTATCTCACATCCTCTTGCACAGATGGCTCTTTTCTCCTGCAGCACCTTCTATCATTGTCAGACTTTTCCGCACACATTCACACCTGGAGGCAGTCCAGCAGCACCACACAGAGCAGCCTCGCTCGAGTACCCAAGAGTTACACAAACACGGTCACACTTTACACTCACACTTTGCTGGGAGGCCGTAGCCGCAGGTGATCTTGGCCTCTCCCGTCTCGCAGCCGTTGAGGGAAGCGCACTCCTTTTTGAGCAGGGGACCAGCGGCTCGGTGGATGGCTCCATCCACTGGAACAGACACGACAAGAGATTTAGGGAGTTGTCCTACTTATGTGAATCCCCCTAAAATCTTACTGCTTACAGGGGGCTAAAATGTTTTTTCACGTCCAGCAGACACATTTACTGGAGTCAGAGCTTAGTGCTAAATGGAGCTGGATAATGTCGGTGTTTGTTTGAATGGCCGGATTTCCTGTCGGAGCATCTGCCTCTTCTGAGTGTCAGCCTACTGAATGGATTTCAGTAGCACTGCCTTGGTTAATTACCTGATTTAATGCACTATTAAACACTCAGCTGATCTGACTTTTTGGTCAATTGATCATTATTAATTGAATTTACATAAATCTACATATATTCAGAAAAGTGCATCTACCTTTAATTGCTAGCACATCTAAAGATGGTGACTGTGTTCATCTCCTGGAGGGCAATCATGCAGCAAAATCCACTTTGCAGCTTTTCCAGCCACCGCTTTTCTGGCAAAATTAGCCTCTCTTGCAGTCAGACAAATTTACTCATTCACTCCTTAGACGGGCATCTTGATTATTAACAGTATTGCAGTAATAAAGACTAACAAAGTAGATTTTAACCACAGTATAACTGAATTTATTTAAACAATTACAGAAAAGAATCAATTTCTGGAAACTTTTTGCTAGTATCAGCTGAGATACTGGAGGCGTTCATTCAAGTGGCTGGCTGATGATCATTTAGGTTTTTCTTACAGAGCTACTGAACCATAAAACATTTTTGTAACCGTGTTACATATTATTGTTTTAATAAAGAGCGTGTAAAATGTTTGAGGTGTATTGAGTGCTTGACGGAGGAGAAATGAAAGGAAGTTGAGGGATGAAAGAGACTGGAAATAATGTCCTTGAACAATGAGGAAAATTGTGGTATTTTTATTGAATTTTTTAAATATATTTAAAACAGGCCAGTAGAGCTCAAAAGCAAATGTTTTTATTTTTATAAGTATTTAATGATAACAAAAAGAAAATTCTCAACTTTTGCAACATAAAGAACAAACATTTTTAGAATAATGATTTTTAAAATGTCTGATTAAAGCAAAGGAGAGATGGTAGTTTGGCTACATTATGAAAATGTCAAGGGCAATTGGAAACAAAAGTGAATAAATTACCACTTTATTAGCATTTAACCAAAATCATAAACTATTTGTAATCACGCACAAAGTAAAAGTAATAAAGGTAAATGCAAATGAAGTTAAACTAAACCTGTTTATTCTAAAATGTGAAAGTTTAAAGAATCTTGTATTTCCATTTAATGCAATTTTTTTACTCACTTTTACTAAAGTCAACCTTTTAGTGCTGAACTTCTTAGAAATGAAGGATTTACATAATGGATAGGCAACGGGGTTCTACCTCAAAACACATCCTTACAGGTTAAACTTGTCTTTTCCTAACATCTATTGTTAAAATTGATTTACGCTTTTATTTTTTATATACATATACATTTTCAAATTAAACCCATATTCCTTCTGAACTATTATAATGGAATTAGGTATGCTAGTTCACATCCTAGATGCAACCTTTCTCTGTGGTGTTTGCATGTTCTCTCCATGTATGTGAAATATTCCTAACAAAACAAATACATTTTTCTGCCATGAATGGTTATTATTCCATATTTCATAATGCAAAACCAAATAAATGAATTCTCAGAGAACAAAATGGAGAAAGGTTAATTATTGCAACATTATTACATCAGCTTTTTAGAATGTGAACCATCATAGCTTCTGTTTGGTCGTAAGATCAAGGAGCTGCTTTTTGTGTTGAAAGATAACTGAGATCGTGCTGGAGTTTGGTGTAAAAGTTTATAATTAGCTCAGAATAAAACACATCTGTCAGGAGACGGGTCTGTCTCGGCACCGTGAGACTTATCAGCACTTGGTGAAAATAGAACCATAACACCCATCCATATGTCTCAGCTCAGCGTGTCGGCCTGCGGTGCCTGTCTCTGTCTGACTGTATACAGACCAGCTGTTACAGCGGTGAGAGAGAGTGGCTCCAGGCAGGGGTCTGATGTTATCTGAACGTTATTGTGTTAAGTTGGCATACTGCATGCGGTGCTGAGCTGTGGTGTGCCGCGTCGTGCTGTGCCATGTCAAACTGGGCTTCACTGTGAGCGAAACACGAGTGCGAGGGCGTGACAGACGAGCTCTGAACACCAGCTACCTCCTCGGGGTCCACCAAAACAAGCCTAGATGTGCAGTGATGCCGAGGCATGTGCGCTTCTGTTCAGGCTGAGTTTTCTTTGTATTTCTAGGTGCAAGTCAAGTGTGTAATTTCTTAAGGCGACACACAAACAGCACACGCGAACGTTGGAGCAACGCAACTCTGATATAGATAACAAATGTGATGAGGGGGAGAGCTGAAAAGGAGGAGATGAGGAGACAAAGAGAGAGCAGCAGATGTGAGAAAAAAAAACAATCTGAAGGAACACAAGGCAACATGCAATAACAGTCAAAAGTTTGAAAAAGAAACAGATTGTGGTGATACATGCGTGTGACAATCCTACACACACACACACACACACACACACACACACACACACACACACACACACACACACACACACACACACACACACACACACGCACGCACGCACACGCACACGCACGCACACACACACACACACACACACACACAACTGGATGCAACCAACACTGTCTAATGCTTGTTGACATTTTGCAAGGCCATTTGAGCATAAAAAAGATGTTAAATTACAGACACCTGCATGTTCACAACGCCTGATTGTTGTATTGTTTGTGTAACCTGATGACTGGCTGTCCTTACATCAAGGCCAGAGGACTGTTCTGGAGTCTGATTAGGCACTCTGGCACTGAGGTGATTGGCTTACACTGAGATAATGATGGGGTTCCACTCGACCAGAATCTATAACGTCTCATCCTCTGCGACGCTACGTGATACACTCAAGATCAAAATCCCCAGAGAATCCTTGTTTCCAGGTGCAGCGTTATCCATTATTTTTTTTTCTCTTCATAAAATTCAGGCAGATTTTATTTGTGGTGACAGTCAACAAAGATGGCTCCACTTCACTGACTGGTGGTGCTTGAAGCAGACTGTTGGAAATGTCAGAACACACAGGGTTCATTTCTCTGCGCGCTCTGACAATGCCCCGCAGTGCAGGGCTACACAGAATCAAGTTCATGACCATGTAAAGGAGATCACTCACACTATCTGTGAATATTCTCTGAATATTTGGAATCTCTTCAGCTGGGGATAGGGCAGCAGAATATATAAAAAATGTATCACTACTGCAGTGTCAGTATGTGCATTATCAGTATTGCAAAGGACTGGTTTCTGATGAATGATAGATGATTGTATTTTAAGTGCCAAGCATTAATGTTCTGCATACAAATGTCATCTAATCAGATGGACTCCTGCTGCCCTTGATGCCCACGCCTGTTTTAGATAGCAGGGGCAGAGATGATTAGGCATATGGTGTAATAAGCCCATCCCCCAGGGGATCTTCAATCTTGCTCCCAGAGGCTTCTCTTTCTTAAGCTTTCCAGAGACCTCCTGACTGACACCGGACTATGACGAGTCCTTCAGAAGTCTAGCAGGCACATAGATACATTACATTAGACATTATGGCATAAAAGATGCCAACAATGGGCTGAAAAAGTAAGATAACATGAACTTTTTACTGTTGTTTGACAGTATCTGTTGGGTTTGGAATCGTCCTGAATTCTGGAGACATGGCTTAGGAAGGCTGGCCTGAAAAAAGAAAATGTAGCTTGCATCAACAGTTTTTTCCAGGATTACTTCCCCTATCTTTAAGACTGATCATTTTCCAACAGCTCTATGTCAAGTTGTCCCTCCAACAAAACCATATCTTTGCTGTTTTGGTCAGTCAGTACAATTATGAGTTTTGGCTTCAAGAACTTATGCAATAAAACTCAGTGTCCTGCCACAGCCAGCGTGGAGATTTAGACTCACATACAACGGGGAATGCAATTAGATGATCCTTTAATTAGGAGTGCCAAAACCGATGCATGTTAAGAAGAGGACAGAGCCAACTGCACATCCTTTGAAGGCTGACATCCTTACACCTCTGCAAAAAAACTGCTGCAGATGCTCGTTCAGACTGTTGTACAAATGCTCTCCTTTGCACACACAAAATATTTCCCATGTCTTCATAAACTGTTGAGGAAAAGAGGCTTTGGTGTGGGCATGAAGCTGTACAGCCTGACATCTGTGGCAGATCAACAAATGCTGAGCAGGTTCCTTACAAACGCTGACAATCCACTGCATCTTCTGTTTCAGACAGAAGGGCAACTTTGGCAATGGGCTGCTGGTAATGTCCTGATCCACACCAAGGAAATGTTCTCCACCATGCTGTGGAGCAGTTCACTCCACTATGGGGTAAAGTGCTGGCGTCAATGTTCAGATCTATGCTGAACTATACACTCAAATCTTTATATTCTGTTTGCACCAGACTGCTTAAATTGTTTATTCTGATTTTATCTATTTGCATTCTTTTGTATCTTAAAACTGTGGATTCTGATGAAATTGTGAATCACTCCTGTAGGTTGAATTAAATTTCTACCATCTCGTCTATCAAAATCCAACCTAACTGCCGACCTTCCCACCCTCCTCTACCCACCCAATATGCATTAAGTCCTCATTGGTCCTCATTAGAAACCGTCATGAAACATCAACCCCTATAGCTACGGTTTAGGAGAGGGATGGCTTGACTGAAAACAGTTGGTTCGTTTCTGACCTCATATGGTATCATGATAAAATCATATGGTGACGTCTAATTTGATTAAAAGTTTGCAGCGTGTAAAGGCTTACTGTCCAAAGTGGTGATAATGTGTTACAGCGAGGATGTGTTGCAGGTGTGGAAGGGGCATTAATTATCTAATCTAAAGTCAATGTGTGGAGTGAACTTTATTTGTCTGAGATCCAATGGTGCATCTACACAAAGATGCCCAACGACCAACAAGAGTAACAAAATCACCATAAAAACGGCATAAA